AATGACCATTAAGATAACAATACGAGTGTTTAATAATAATAATGGCAATAGTTTTGTTGGAAATAGGTCTCTTGTTACTGCCAGGTATATTTTGTATATATAATTAATAATGAGAGCAATTCCTGTTTTACATGGACCATGCTGTTAATGTGCAGTTGTGCTCTGCTCACACACACAAATACTGCATTTAGTAGATTGTTAGCTGAGTGATGTCTGGAGTGCATCTGAGTTGAAGTGGTTTCAAAAACCTCCAGAAGCTTCTGTCTGACTGCTCTGAATTCAGGGAGCAGTGCTGGCCATGGGCTTTCCACCATGTGGTGGTGATGGTTTTGGTGATGATGGTTTTTCCACCCATGGTTTTGGGCAGCTTGCGTGTTATTTGGAAGGACACCAAAAGACAAACATTCTTTCATTGCTGATAGAGAGGCTCTTCCTGGTGGCTGTGGTTCTCTGAAGCCATTGACACTGCAATGAACTATTTTTCCAGTTCAGAAACAAGGTGTCAGTGTTAATGAGTTAATCAGTTCACAGAATCATTTAGGTTGGACAAAACCTTTGAGATCATCAAGTCCAGCTGTGACCCAACGCCACGGTGCCAAGCAGACCATGGCACTGAGTGCCACATCCAGGGATGGTGACCACACCACCTCCCTGGGCAGCCCATTCTGGTGTCTAAGGACCCCTTCTATGAAGAAATTGTTCCTAATGTTCTTAAAACCTCGGAAATCTTGGTAGGTCTGTAGAGCATATACTATCAGGCACAAGCTGAGGAGGCTGCTACTGATGTTCACTGTGTGCATGTTTTTAATGTGGTGTCACATTTGTTTAATTGGCTTTAGTTAACAGGAATTTCACCAGAATACTGAGGGAATGTCCTTTGAGCGTTAAGAATTAATAGAAGGGGCTTGAAAGAAGACTAGCTACACAGTGAAGGAAATGTGGTCAAAATGTGAAGTTATTAATGGAAAAATCTGAATCACCTTTATAATTTTTTTCCTCATGTGGTTTCAATATTTTTGCAAAGATGTCAGTAGTTATCAGTAGCATATATTGAAACAAATGATAGTTGTTGAAATCCCATGACCTGATATTTTTTTGTTTCTTCCTGTTGTGCTAAAGCAGTCAAGAATGCAAATTCACTTGGGTGTTGAGTTGCAGCCACCTCTTGAATAATCTGTTATCTTCAGACACAACTGCTGTGCTGAAAGTTGAATGATTTAATAAAAGTCAGCTGAAGGCAGATAGTGTCCACACCCCCTCACCCCAAACCATGGGATTTAGGGACTTACTGTAATTCTGCTGTTATTTTGCTGATTGGATTGAAAAATGTCAACAGAGAATCAGCAGTAATTGCAGTATGAAGTATTGGGAAAATGTGGTGAGCATATGGTACTGGACTGGGTTTGTTATTAAAGGAAGTGCAGCTGCTGCATCTTCTCTTGCACAGGAGATTCTTTCAAGTGCTCTGGGTCTAAACTTTTCCCAAAGAAGGCAACTTGCAGTTTGGGAACTTTTGTAATTGAAAAGAATAATTTTATTTATTTTTCAAATTTATCAAATTACAATGAATTCTACCTTGTGATTGCAAGCATAGAAAACTCAGATCATGAAGAATTGCCCTAATTTTGAAGGAGTGCAGATTAATTTAAAAAAGCAAACCCAACAATCCCTCCAAGCCAAACCAAATTTTAGTGAGATGGAAAGAGTGTTTCTTACCTATCTGTATTGTATTCAACTTAAGAAATCATGTGAAATATTTAGATTTTATGCATTATAAGTAGATTTGTAATCTGTATCACAGGACCTTTTTGCTGAAGGATTAACAGTGCTTCTGTTGGTGTTTTGGTTTTTTTTACTCATATCTGATGGATGTGAATACTTTTCTAATACTTATATCTTGAGCACAGAACTATTCACTTCCCTTTTTTTTCCCCATTAAGATGTTGCATTTCTGTGATAGATCCTTCACGTACTGTTCCATGAACTTTTTAAAAATTTTAGTCTTTCTCTGTATTTAAGTCAATGGTTTCCTGAAGATTCAGCTTTACTGCTGTGGGCCTCAAGTTTGACTGTTTAACACCTGGAGTGTTTGCAAGGCTTCTGTGAGCTGTTCTGAACAGAATCCTTTTCTAAATTTTTTGGGAACTCAGATACCAAATCAGTTGGGCCTGAGCTAGAGGTAGACACAAAGTATTTTTGGTTTCCAGGTATTTTCCCACCAGTGGGGACAGGCTGGGTCTGGGGACACAAGGAGGGACCTGGTGCCTGCACCTCTTGGAGGGAGCTGCTCCCTGGGAGGTGTGGAGTGGTTTCTCCTTGGTCCCAGAGGTGACCTGAAGTACAAGTTCAGGCAGCATGAGAAGTTTGTGTGGCTTTCAGAAAATGCTCAGCAGCACATCATTTTCTTCAGGGAAATCCCTATGGAGGTTTAGAATCCTTCTTGAAAGCAAAATGGAATTACATGCAGGAAACTCTTACACTGGTGGCCAGCATTAGTGGCCTTCTAAGGAAAGCAACCTAAAAAACCTGATAAGCTTTTGACATAAAGGAGAGAATATTAAAAACTTTAAAAAATTTACATCTCTCAATTCTGAATTAAGAGCTTCCTATACTGTGGTGTAGGGAGAGTCTTTGTAGCAGTCAAGTAAAAGGAGAACTAGAAGGATTGATAGCTTCAGAACATGAAGTAGAAGAAATTTTGAGCTACTTTCTTGGATGTCATTATTTATAATTGTAGTTGGTAGTGTCAGAGGTCTCAGTCTCTTGTAAACTGAATTCAGAATTTAAACAAGTCACCTGTGCTTGCACAGAGAAACTTTGGGAGCAAATGCATAGCAGGGACTGTTTGCTGCTGTAACTCTCTGGTTCTTCCTTTTCCAGAAGTCTGGATACCTCTGTTCTGCTCAGTCCTGCCCTTTCTTCAGGCTGAGCTCTGCCTGGAGGGTGTTTGTGCTCACCCCTGCCTTGGGTGCATTTGTTTGCTGTCTCCTTGTGCCACCTGCCAGCTCTAGAACAACTGCAGGAAGAAGAGATTTGACAGAGATATGGCTTAGGATAAGCAGATAATGTGAACTTGAACTCAGCAAGGGGAGAAGTTCTGACATGGAGTCAATGAAGGAGCAGCTCCTTTGTGCAGTCACCTACTCCACAGTCCCTGCTCCTGTCTGCATAAAGGAATGGAAATGCTTTGGTAGAGTACATGAGGGGAACATTTAACAGTGATCAGTGACTGGTGACCCTGTTCAGTTGTTCAGTCTAACAGGGAGCTCCTTTCCCTTACACAAACTGCAGCTGGGGCCATGTCTGAATTTGTTCCTCAGGCTCTGGCACATCCTGGCTCTGCCTTATGAGCATCTCTGCAGCTCCTCTAGAATGTGACACTTGCTTTGACTTGCTGACCTGCTGCACAGAGCTCCCAGCTAACCCTGTGTGAGGGCAGTCTGTGAGCAGGCTGCCCTTGGCAGCTACACTGTGTGCTACCTTGGGGCTGAGATTGCTTTTGGGACTTGTACTCCTTGTAGTTTGTATGGCCATTGTACCAAGAACATCTGCTCTGAGATTATTCCCAAGGGACAGTCACAGAATGTTAGGTGTACATATGCATAAACTGGAGGAAATTCTTCCTACTGACCCATCAGATTGTGCTGCCCAAATGTCTTGTAAGGTGTTTTGTGGGTTTTAAGATAGCAGCAAACTCAAACTGTAAATTTGCAGGAAGCTTAGAGGAAGCCTATTTTTTCTCACTGTAACACTGATTTATGCTAGCAGACTTGAGTTTTGTCAGACAGAAAATGGTTTTTTATGGTAAAGCCAGGAGAGTAATGTATTCACTGCTGCTGCCTGGGTGTCTGCAGAGGAGGCAGCACATATGGACTGCTACTACTAATGCATCAATTGGACTGCTTCATACTATCAGAGTACAGCTTTGAGAAGAAGATCTTTCAGAAGATTGTCTTTAACAAGAAAATATTTAACAATTTTAATGCTTAACCTCAGCATTTTGTGATGCAGCTTCACAGAAAAGATGATTCAATTAGATTGCACAGGTCAGCTATTAAAAGGTGTTTTAAATGGTTGCAAATTCCAACTTTGCCATTGATGTATGGACAGACTGAAGAATGAGACACCCTGGAGAGGAGCCCTGTGGAAAAAGGGACCTGGGGCCATTGAAGTTACAGCTTCTTCATGATCTCCTCTCTGGTGACCAGCAGCAGGATCTTGATGGAATGGCCTCAAGCTGAGTCAGGGGGAGGTTAGGTTGGATATCAGGGAAAGGTTTTTTCAGGATTTACTGCAGGATTTCAGAAGGTGAAGAACAAAATTGCTGTTTGTCCGTGCATTCCTGGACCGTTCAGGATGACGCAGTGCTACAGTTGTGGGGTATTTGTGGTGTTTCCAAAATTGATCTATAGCACCGTTGCTTCCAAAAAAAGGAACATGTAAAAAAAGAAGGCAGTTGCATCAGAAAAGTTACCAGAAATTGCCAGCTTTACTTCACATCTTTCTGTGTGGAAAACCACTGCTGACTTGTCCAAGGAAATCAGTGAGAAATACTGGAAAGAGCTAGTGTGTCCTGGATTAATCATGTGGAGTTCTAATCTGCAGATTTATGTCCATCTATAGGCTTCTTTTGGAAGACTGCTTCTTGAGAAACTATTGCTTTCTTTTTTAAATATCACATATCCATTATATTAAACTCACTGCTGTTTATAGAGAGAGACCAGAATTATCAATAATCACCTGTCATTTTGAAAACATGCGAGGTGGAGGCTGGATGCCACTTGTGTCTTCATTTCATGTAGCGATTGCTGGTGTTACTGCTGGAAAATGTGAAGATTGTATTTATTATATGAGTTGCAGGACACATTTGAGGAGTGTGTTCTGCCTCTTGTGGTGAAAAACTTACTAATATATGGTATATTTTGAAAATATTCTCAAATGTATGGTGATTTCAATTCCACTAGTTTGCCTTTAAATAATTGAATTTTATCTTTCAACAGGACCAACAGAAGGTTTGGGGAAAATAATACAAAGATTTCCCCAGAAGGACTGGGAAGACACTCCTTTTCCACAGGGAATAGAGTTGGTAAGTTTGCATTACATTTTGCAAGTCTTAGAATTTCTTTCACGTGCATTTGAAAGATAAATCTGCCTTCATGTAATGATCTGTATTGTTTAACCCAACAGGGCATGGGTAGAAATTAGTGAGCACAGGGGATAGATTATAGGTTTAAGAATAACAATTTTGGCTAACAGAAGATAATTTATTCTGGTATGCACAGCTAAGTAAATATTCCTCAAATATAGAAAATGTCTGCTGCAAATTTATAAACTGTGTTTAAAATAAATGGTTATTTGTGCTCCTATGTTTTGTGAGCAGCCTTCAGATGGCAGATGACTTCTCATTGTCACGTTCAAATAATTACAAAATTATGCATATTTGCATAATGTAGATTTAAAAATAAATTAATATAATATCCCAATAAACTGGACTTATTAAAATGATCAGCAAGGCTGGTGTGCAAGGGATCTATTTTAAACAGGGAATTCCAAAGGTGCTGCTTTTTTTCCCCTTCCTTGGTCTCTTCTTGTGGGATGCAATGAAAAGGTGGATCAGGGATTGACTCAACATCTTGTCTCTAAAAATCCCAAAGAGAAAGGAAGGACTGTGGTCATATTCTGAAATGAGGTTTCTGAGAAGTCAGAGTGAAACTTTTACTGGTGTGAACTGGGACAGGATGAGCTATGGGAGGACATGGGCTCTACGAAATGTTGCAATAGGAATCTTTACTGTGGGGCAAAATCAGCTGCAGAGGACAAAGGCACCAACTGTTCACTGCATTTATTGCACAGCCAACAGAGCAGGCTTTTCCCAGTCTGGCATCTTTCAGGCAGTGCTCAGCTCCCTGCTCTGTGCTCTCATGAAGGACAGGAAGGGGACTGGGCTTGGCTGCTCCCTCCCCGAGAGGCGCGTTCGCTCCCTGGGCTGGCGGCCGCGGGCTCCTTTTCTCCTCCTCCCTCTGGGGTCTCATTTCAGGGCTTGCCATGCCCTGCTGCTCTTTGGGGTGAGCAGGATTTCTCCCCCCTGTGATGGGGAATTGCAGCCTCTTGGTGCGCTTGCATAACCCCAGGTTTGGCAATGCTGAGCTCTGCTGAAATGGGGAAGATCCGAGGTTCAGCCAGGAGGGTTCATCCTGCCTCAAACAACCCCAGAGGCTGAGTCATGGTGAGGTTTACTCTGTGCCACAGATCTAAATCTCAGATCTTCCTGACCTTGTTCAGAGAGAGCAATGGGTCTGACTAGCTGGGAAGATGTGAAAAATAAACAAATAAAATATATAGGCACGCCTTCTCTTGAAGCAGTGAATCTTAATCTGTGCCCAGGTGTTATCTCCAATTTTAGCTTAATTGTAGGATTTTAGCACTACAAGAAACACCTTTCTAAAGAAATTTTTTTTTAATGGGACAAAACATTATTTCTGTATTGATTCTCAAATGACTCCTTAGGCCAAGCCATTAAAACTTTAAACTTTCCAAATAAAACAAAATCTTGACAATTTAACAACATCAATTCAGCCAGTTGGCAAAATCAGTCAAGTTTTGATCTGCTTTCCAAATGTGGTAAATAAAATTTTAGTTAATGAAGATTGAGGAGTTACAGATAGTGCAAAGATCAAGTATTGAAGTAAATCACTTATGAAAGTCAGATGTTGGCAGGAATTTTTTTCAAGGTTTTGGATGAATCTAACAAGAATCAACATTAATTCATGGAAAGGAATGAAGAAAAGCAGTGTTACCATGTTCTGTCACCTTAAGATTTAATATCAATAAGGGGGTAATAGGCAATCCTTAAGGAAGAAGAAATGGGGAAAAAGGTAAGAATAGATGAGTTGACAAATGTATATGAGACTGAAGAAAGACCTATTTATTAATAGCACTTAGTTCTATGACAAGTTTGAGTTAATATCCTCTTAAATACTTGCTCTTCTTTGAAAGATCTGTATGGTTTCTATTAAATGGAAAAAAAGCCATGGTTTGTATCTGAAAAACATGTCAAGCTCTCTTCACTGTGTTCTCATGAAGGAAAAAAGCCAAAGCTTTTCATGCTTAATGATAGGATTGAAGGGAGATTTTTTTTGAGCCCAGTTTTGCTAAACAGGCACCCATGGTATAAACTGGGTCTACTGGACCTGCCCTTGACTGAGTGAAAGGGATCATTTTGAGAACATCTTCTCTAGGAATGATGACTCAATTTCACCTTGCACTTTGACTGTATTCTGTAGTTTTGGTAGTTTGACACAAATACAGAGAATTGGGTCATTATAAAATGTGATTGCAGTCTGAATTTCACTGAAGGGTGTTGTGTTTGGTGTATGTGTGTTCTGGATTAAAGGATTAAGAGTTATTCCAACTGTGTCTGTTTTTATGTGAGCAGCACGATAGCTGTGTTCTGGTCACAAACACATGGGCTGGGAGTAAACACATTGTCCAGAATTCAACAGAAATGTACTCTATTCCATTTTATTCAAGTACTTTAATTTGTCTTGTTCAATAAATTGTGTGTCTGCTGGTTGCCAGTGGGGAGGAAAGCCATGAGTCTCTGCTGAGGGAATGATGCTGTCAGGAGGAATTTGGTCAGTGTTTTCTTACTCCTCTTACTTGTCTGCATCCCCTGAAATTAGCTAATGAGATTAAGAAAAATCTTTTTGCATTTGCTACTTCACTAAAGACTTCACAGCTTTAAACTTGGTTCTGTTTATAACTGAATGCAGAAACTTTGATAAGCCACCTGCAAATTGCTGTGAAACATACCTGAAGGTTTTTGCAATGGATTATTGATAATTACAGTAGCTGTTAAGGGCCTGAAGACTTTTTTACCATTTGTTAAATTGTGCGATGTAACTGCAAATAAGATACAATATTTCTTAATGTCGATATATCATATATATTGAGTGTTACTTCAGAAGCAATAAAATGCACTTCTTCCATTTGTTAGAACATTTTGTGGGCTATTCAAGAGAAATGTAAGGAACAATTTAGTGTAGAATCTGAGCATCTTCATTTTACTGACCAAGAGCAGTCCATCTGCAATTTATAGACAAATGCAAGTCAGAGTGAGTTTCTTCCAGTTCCATGGAAGTAAGATGACTTTGAGGGGTAAAGGGAGATTTATGCTCATTCTTAATAAAATATTTGGCTCAGAAAAGCATTTCAGTCACTGTTTTTTGAAAGAATGCAGTTAGAACACCCCAATCTGATAGCTGCCCCCCCATGATATTTTAAATGCACATGTTTGGGTATCCTTCTCCATAGTCTGTCTGTTTCTGAGAAGTTTTTTCAGATGCAGTTTAAGTGTACAAATAACCCTGTAAAGTCAGCTGAGGCATACAGAGCAGTGTCAGGTTAGGACAATCAAACTTCTTCATCTTGCTTGTAGAAAGAATGCTGGAGAGTGTGTGTTAGTTGAATGAGTTAGCTTTACATTTCTGCATATTTTTCTTATTTCTAATGCAGTTTTAATTCCACTGTGTAACTTTCTAGACATCATAATTAGTTACACATCAGAGGAAGCTTTGGTATGTAATGTTAAATTGTAAAGTCATTTTTGTCCCAGGGCTAAATTAGCTAAACTAATTCACCTGCATTACTCAGTGTTGGGAGGCTGCTCTTAATGAGGCCAAGGGAAGTCATACCTAGAAACAGTTACCTTGTCTGGAGTTGGAACTGGATATGATGTGTTTCTGCAGTTTCTGACTAGCAGGGAAGGAAATTTCCCACTGTAACTGGTGCTGGTGTTAGCAGTAGTGTCATGATTCAGTAATTTGAATTTTAAATGTGGTCAAGTATAGAAATTAACATGTTTTTCTAGACAAGATCATCACCTATCCAAATAATGACTTCAATTATAAAATGTATTTTTAATTGGTAAAAAGTGCTGTTTATTACAACCATTTGAAGACCACTTACACAAGTTATGACACTAAGAGAGAAAGGCTGCAGGTATCCCTTTGGGATGTGTAAGTTTGCCTGCTTCCTTCTAAAGGAGGAGTTGGAGTTGCTGGAATCAGTTTATTCCTCCTTAGTGCACAGCCCTTGCTGTGGAGCTCAGCATTTCTGCACCCTGGTTTTGCTTCAGACATAAACTCTTAAGTGGGTGTGGAATATGTCTTTTATGAAAACCTGGATTCAACTTTCAAATTCCAGCTAACCTGAGATACAAAAAAACTCCGTGAGTTTTGTAAAATGAGAGGAAGGAATGGTATTTTCAAAGTGTATTTGTGTTCTGACTGATCTGGTTGGTCTTGTACAAATTTCCACTTCATTTTTACATACATGATTTATGAGTTACAGCTCTACCTCTGAGATCTTAACTGATATTTACTTCTCTTGGAGCTTTACACTTGGAATGGGGGGGAAAAAAGCTATCACAAAAACCCCACCAAAACCCAGCTCATTTGTCTTCAAAGTTGCACTCTACTGAAGACATTTAAAAGAAGGCCAAATTTTAAAGTGGAAAAGTTTTTCAGAACTCCTAAACTTCTGAAAATTTCCACTGCAGAGTCTCTGGAAATCATTACACATTCAGTCAAAAGCAATACTTTTAAAATTCAAGTGCTGATCTTAGTTTTGTTTTGCCACCTTGGTATAAGGCATCTTTTCTAGAAAAAAATCTGCTGCTTGACCATTTCACTACTTATTTTAAATAAGACATAAAAGACAACTGGGGCTGCAGATTAGACAGTTAAGGCCTGAAGTGATTAAAGTTTTAAAGGAGTTAATCTTTAAATGCTTCAGTCTTAGCTAGCTGATCTGTAAGCCAAGTTTTCTCAAACATTAATGCTTTTGAGGACCTGAATAAAGAGTTGTCCACAACATCCATTTAACCTTCAGTGGACCTGCTCAGCTGCAGAGGGTTTTGTTTGGTGGGGGATTTTTTGCCCCTCTTTCCCCTCAAATGTCTTTTACCTCTCCAGAATCATTACATATGTAATTCTTCACTGAACAACTGTACAGCAGAGATCTGTGTAGCACTTGGAAATGCTTTGTGTTGTTTTTATTCCCATATTACAGAACAGGTGCTTGCAA